TTTGACCTGAGGTGGACCAAGAGTCATTATTCTTGGCCTCAGCAATCTGGTCACCTTAAATAGAGCAAGTCCCTTTATTATGTGTGTACCAGATGCTGTTGGTCCCCACTCCAGACCCTTATTCCAAGCCAGCACCTTGTCCCCCAGCTGTCATGTGTTTAGTGAGCTAACAGTGCCTGGCTGCTCACTTCTCCAAGGAATGGGCACTGAGTAATTGACCTCCCTGCCCAGGGAAGAGGCAGCCCTCAGCCAAAGCCTAACTGACACGATGTGGAAATGTTTATAGATTGATTGCCGATAGACAGGAAAAGGCTGTGGTGCTGTCCACACTTGGAAATCACAGCAGGATAAGGCTGGGGCTGGACTCCAGCTGAGGGCACAGTCCTGCTCCATCCTCTACCCTGCCCCATTCCCTCCTCCCTTACATATTTCTTCTGACTGCTATCTCTCAAGAAATCATTTTATAAGATTCTGCTTCTAGTGAACCCAGCCTAAGGTAATTTGTATTGAAAATAGCCATTTGTTTGCTGAAATATTTTCACAAACTGTTAGGGAGTTTTTTCTACTCTAGCTTCTCTCTTCCGATCTTGAATCAGATATCATTTGGCTAACATCCTTGTTTCCCATCTCATACACACTTCTCTGATTTACTCTTTTCTTGAGAAGTAATATCCAAAAATGATGTCTTAATCTTTTCTTTCATCTGCTTGAATATTAAGGTAAGACACTTTCAGGCTCCGGTTTCCCTGGATCTTTTCCAAGATGTTCCCATGTGTTTTGAGTCTTTCCTTAGATGCCCTGTCCCCTTAATAGTTACAGGGCACAAGAGGAGATGAGGGTGAGGGGGTGGGGAATTAATCTTGGTTCTCAGATGATCCCACTATCTTTATCTACCTCATCAATATTGTAGGTACAATCTCAGAAGGGTCCTGAGATCCCAGAGAAGTCTTTGAATCAGTTGTGGCCTGACTAATCAGACTGAGCAAACACACCCTTTGCTCAACTGTCTACTGTGTTTGTGTTAACAGTGTCCATATCTTTGCTTCTGGTCTAAATACAGCATTCACTTAATAGTCGTAAGCAAAATCCAACATTCATGTCTTAACCAAAAGCAAGACTGACACAGAATTCTGGTGACGTCACTTGGAAACAGGGAGATTGTTCCATAAACTAAAAAAAAAGTCTGAAAATCCCAAATTTTGCTCATTTTACAGATTTATCTCTTTTGCACTGAGCTCAAGAAATGGCAGGGCAGGTAGATGTCTCACACCAGAAGGCCAGGCCTGTTCCTCTAGCTCCAGGAACAGCAGCATCCCCCAGCTAATCTGCAGTAAGTCTGTGGGTCTTCTTTTTGGTTCATTATTACTTGAAGGCACATCTCCATCAGAAAATAAACCAGGGCAGGAAAAACAGGTTGAAGATATTTTCATAGTTCTATTTGTTGATCAATTTAAGAGTCAAAATTATGATTAAGATTTTTAAAAATGGTTATCTATAGATTTCAATGATCTTAATGCTGTCCAGTAGAAATTAGAATGCAAGCCACTTTGTAATTTAAAAATGTCTAGTAGCTTCATTAAAATAAGTAAAAAGAAACAGGTGAAATTAATTTTAATGATAGATTTTATCTAATCCAATATATTCAAGTATTACCATTTCAAAATGAAATTAACATTAAAATTATGATATTTTACATTAAGTTTTCAAATCCTAGTGTCTGTTTTATAGTTACAGCATGTCTCAGTAAAACTAGCCACATTGTGGCAGCTCAGCAACCACACATGGCCAATAGCTGTATAACTATTTCTCTCATGTCCCCTACCGGGGACCTGGCCTGCAACCCAGGCATGTGCCCTGATTGGGAATCAAACCTGTGACCCTTTGGTTCACAGGCCAGTGCTCAATCCACTGATCCACACCAGCCAAGGCCCAAGCCATCCCCTTTCTTGCTGACTCTGTGGACAGAGGACATCTAGACACCACTGAATGAATACACATGCTCAGGCTCCTCTGCAACCTGCAAAACCCTGGGCTAGAGTGTGTAGTTTGTACCAGGTCTGAATTTCCTTTTTTATCTCACCTTCTGGCAGAGCAAGCAGGCTTCTAGAAACTGAAATGGGGAAGGCTGATGAGGCCCCAGTCTTAGGGGTAAAGCTAAGGAAGACATTGGGAGGCAAAGGAGCAGAGAAGGGGATATAGAAGATAAAAAGAATGTGAACTTCAGAACCTACCAGTTTGGTTCTCAGCTCCACCACCTCTGGTTGTTGAGCTACCTGAACTTGTTCTCCTCATCTGTGAAGTGTTTCGGATAAGATGATAAATGCTGAGGGTCTGGTATGAAAGAAAGTGACCATTTGTGGCTTGATGCCTTGTGAGGAAGTTGGGTAACCCTTTGCAGGGTCTCCATTCTCTGCCAAGCCATTTCCCTCACTTGCTAACCCTTTTTCCTGAGAAGACACTATCAGCTACCCACCCAAATCCCCTCGGCCCACCCAACCCTCCACCCAAATCCTCTGAGCCTCCAGCTAGGTTATCTCAGGTAGTTCCTGTGGCTTCCAGCATCTCCTGCCTGAGGCTGTTCTCAAGGAAACATAACGCCTGCAAGGGGCTGGAAGTCAAGGACTGCCTATGATCTGAGGGTCCCAGAATGAACTTCCAAGCAAGAAAGGATAAGAGTTGCTAGATCAATACCCTAGCTTTCCTACTCCTGGAGCAACTCTATAGTGCATTCTACATATTTCTTCAGAGGAACTCCAGTGGAATTGAGCACCAGTTGCCCACAGTGGTAACCTGCTCATTAACTTACACTTACAGGCTGTCTTCTCCTCACTGTGCCTCCTGGGACCGTCTCCCAAATAAACTGCTTACATAGCTAACTCAGATCTAGAGTTCTTAACTACTACAGCCATGACTTAACTTTCAAATTCTTCCCTGATAGGCAGTTCGTTTCTAATATTTCCTGGTTAATTCTCCATCAATGGAGAATGCTCCCTGAGACCAGCAATGCTCCCTGAGACCCCTTCACTTTATCTTAAAGGACAAAATGGGGGAAAGTGACCCTAGAACCTCCCAGGAGAAGAAGAAATAGGGCATGCCCTCAAGGACATCCTCAGACAGAGATGAAAGACTGTGAAACTCTCCAGGACAACCAATGACAAATGACTGCATGAGTGGGCCCCAATTCCCACCAGCCCTTGGGTCAGTTCTCTATGAGCCTAGATTTGCATTACTTGACGGATCCATTCATAGCCTTGGGACCTGCCACCACCTACAGGACCATCTACTTCCCCCCTACCCTCAAAGGACCCTCCCTCACCCTGACACCCCCTAAACATTCTCTTCGCCCCAACCTGTTACCAGCCTGGCCACACAGAGGTAAACCTTCTACTAATTCACTGGTGCTAGGGGCTAAAAAAGAAGCCTTATACCCAGATTCACATTCGATCAGGTTCAAAACCAAGTGATAGCAATTTAGGCTGTTAGAAGTCATGATCTAGGTGCCTCTTGGAAGGAAGGAGATAGTGCTTTGAAGGGGGCACAAGGGAGGAGACAGTAATTTCCAGGATCTGGAAATATTCCCTTTCTTGGCCCGAGTGCTAGTTATATGGGTGTGTTCACTTTGTGAAAATTCCTAAATTTGTTGAATTATGCACTTATAATTTGTACATTTTTCTGGATGCATGTTACATTAAATATAAAATTCCATTCAGAAAAGTTTTAAAAAAGGAATAGAAAGAAAAGGAAACCTTTTAGTACACCAGCCCACCGTCTAAGGTGGAGGATACTCTCCCCAGGCTAGGGAGGCAACATATGGCCAGTACACTAAAAACAAAGAAGCATAAGGGCCATGAAAGAAATCTGAATTAGAGGATCTGAGAAGGGTCCTGTGGGCATCTGGAGGGAGCCACGGACATTTTCCCATTAAATGAGAGGGGAAACCCTAACCTCTGAAAAGGCTTCAGGGATCATGGACACAATATACAGTAAATCCTATGAGGATGTAGACAGGGTGGGTAGCAACCAGAAGGAAGCTGAATGGATTAGGATGGGATAGCCTTAAATGATATGAAATGGAATAGGATGGGATGGAATTGGGCTGGGCTGGAATAGAATGGGGATTGGAAGATGGGACCTAGATACTGAGGGGCTTTACATGAAGCCCATCAAGACCAGGAGTTTTGATTTCTTCTTGCCCAGAGTTGGAGACTTTTTTAGCAAGGAAGTGGCATCCTCAGAATTCTCCTCAAGGGATCACTCTGGCAAAAGTGTTGACCATGAACCTCAAGGAGAAACTTGGAGGCCAGCTGTTTTCTAAGATAAAATAAATGAGGCTGTCACCAACCAGAAGAGCATGGAGAAAGGCCCACGAACACCCCCAGGATTCTGTGTAATGAGCTGGAAAGGTCTCAGATTCACAGTTCATGAGAAGGGAAACTGAGGAAGGCCCAAGGGGAGGAAGACACTCACCTGCCAGGCTCAAGCAGGAGGCTCAGACAGCTCTAATTGAGTGTGCATTTTCTTTCTTTCTTTTTTTTGAGTTCTTACTAGAACATGATGCTATTTGGAGACATGCTTACTTCCCAAGAAAGGTGCATAAAAGCACAAGCAGGACCACAGGAACTACATCCCTAAAGTCAGGCAGGACTGAGGGGATCAGACTATATTTCACAGCATTGCATCACACATCACAATTCTCAGAACATCTCCAGCCAGTGACTTGTCTTAAGTTATGCTAAAACTTGTATCATTATCCCCATGTTACAGGGATGAAAACAGGCTAAGAGAGGGGGATTGCCTGGGCCAAGGTGACACAGCTGGAAGGTGGCTGAGCCAGGAGGTAAACCAAGCTGGGCTGGCCCAAATGCCCCAGAAAGATCTGCGATCTTTCCAGAAATACAACATTGTTTCATGCTGTCAACTGGTTTTTTGGTGGGGAAGAAACAGAAGGAACTATTGGTCAGAAAAACAAAACTAAAATTAAGCACACAGCCCTTCCTCACCTGTATGTGTGCGGACGTGCCTCTTTAGGTCGAAGGTGTCATTGAAGCCCTTGCCGCAGAAGGTGCACAGGTGCCTCTTCACCTGGTTGTGGCACTTAAGGTGACGATTGAGCATACGCTGTAGGCGGAAGCCCTTGCCACACAGGTCACAGCTGTGAACTGCAGAGTCACTGCATGTGCCTGTGGTGAACTGGGACAGAGAGAGAAGCTGTGAGGACCACAGTGCAGGGGAGCACATCCCAGAAGCTTACTCTGGGAGTCCACCTCCCTAAGTCTCTAGGCTTGTCCTGGCTGGGGCCTTCTGCATCCTAAAAATTCCAAGCAGGTTTTCGCTTTGAGGGAAGATGGAACAACGGACAGCTCCTCCCAACATTCATTCATTCTCCCTTTCTTCCTTAGAACAAACCTCTGATTTCTAGGAGGATACTCTGCCCCTAGGTAAACATCTTCATTTCCCAGCAAGTCATGGCTCTATGACTACCTGGCTGATGAAATGTACTCTCTCTAAGGGGAGAGGATGTTGCCCTCTCTCTCTTTACTCCTTTTTTGGACCACAAAAGGAAAGCCAGTGCTGAGGATAGAAGAGCAGAAAGAAAGGAAGAGTCTAGGTCCTGATGACATGAAACCTGTGATAGAAAGTCACCAAAGGCAGCCACAATCAATTCCTTCCTCCCCTGAGCCTGGATGCTGCTACATTCATCAAGAGATGGGTGCCATTACCTGTCCCTGTGGACCAACAGGGATGCAGAGATAATGTGTCAGTTCCAGGTATTAAGAGACCATGCAGCTTCTACATGGTCTCCCTCTAGGAAGCCAGCTGCCTTGCTACAACTCCAAGACCACCAAACTGTGAAGTCCAAGCAGCCACATGGAGAGCAAAAGGAGCCATGGAGGAGCACAGAGGTGCCAGGTATGAATAAAGCCTCACTGGACCTTCCTGCCTAGCTGTGGCTGCCACCAGCTGAGTGAGTGACCTTGAACAATACCACCTGGAGTAAAGTTGACTAGCTCAGCCATGCCCCAGTTCCTGATGCACAAAATCATGAACAAAAAAGAGATCATTTTGGGAAGTGACTTGGTAGGGATCTCACAGCTTCACTACCAGCAAAACCACAACCGAATTGCAGGCTCTGGGCTCTCACTCCAGTGTTCTCTCAGCCACGTTTGCCATCTCTAAGAAAGAAAACTGAATCTATAATTATGTGGTGAAAAACACCAGATATAATATACTCATCAAAGGTTCCTGCCCTGGCTGGTGTGGCTCATTGGATTGAGCACCAGCCTGAAGACTGAGGGGTTGCCAGTTTGATTCCAGGTTGTGGTACATGACTGGGTTGCAAGCCAGGTCCCCTGTTGGAGGTGTGTGGGAGGCAACCAATTGATTAAAAAAAAAAGTTTTCCTAGTTGCCAAATAAGATCCTTTAGAAGAATGATCCAACTGCTCTGCCAAAATTCTACTCATAAAAGAGCCTAAAAATGTATTTTCAGACTGACATTATTAGCAAGAAGAATTGGACCTTTCTTGGCTCGAAATCTTCCTAGCCTCAAATACCCTTCTCCTTTCATCCATACTGGGTGTTGCCCTCTGCTGACACCCAGTTCAACTGTTCCCTCCCTGACACAACTTCTGTAACTACTGTAGCCCCTGCCTGCACTGTTGTCTGACCCACAAGACCAGTGCCTCTCAAACCCACAGTGCACACAAATCCCCTGAGGGTCTTACTAAAATTCAGGTTCTGATTCAGAAGATCTGGTGGGGACTACACACTGCATTTCTAACCAGCTCCACTCTTGAGACATGAGGCTGGAGCACTGGCCCTCATGCAGTTCAGTACTTCATTCCACCTCACTCCAGAGGGTTCTTTTACACAAAAATGTTTCCTCAGAGTTCATCAGTTGTCTTTAACTAAGTGCCCCGAGTCAGCAAGTGTTTGCGCACATTCCTGCCCCTCAAGCCCAGACTCGGGTCAGTGCACATTCAGAAAGTGTTGATGGGCAGTGGGTTCACAGGTGGCAAGATACAAAGAGATACAAAGAGACCTGAAGGATGCACAAAACTCCAGAATTGGATTTTCCAGTTAACCTCCTCTGTACCAGTTCTTCCTTATCTGCTCAGAGCTTCATTTGTCTCAGCTGACTGCCTGGTGCCTGATCTGTAACAGTCCCTGTGCTCAGAGCTGTAGGGAGTACAGTCACCAGGATGACTCATCCCCAAGAAACTGCCAGTCTAATGGGGGAGCAGATCAGTCAACAGGCCATTGACATTTGGGAAGCCCAGGTGCAATGTGCACTTTGAAGGGGCACCTACCCCTGACATAGGGCAAGAGGGAAGGTACCTCTAGAGGAAGTGAGCTCCTCAGCCAGGCAAAAGTAAGGAGAAAGAGAGGAGGAATGGCAAAGAATATTCCAGGAGAGGGTGGCAGGAAACAGGGGGACTGTATGTGTTTTCACATGGCTAGCCTAAGCCCCAGGAAAGCAGTTAATGAACAGACCTATGATAGCAAAGAAGGGCAGGGTCTCCCTTAGGGCTTTACCTTGGGGGGAGGTAAGCTTGACTCTGTTCAAAGGAGGTGGAGGGACACTGAAAAGAAGACAGGTACAGGGGCTGAGTATGATGACTCAGATAGGTGGCTGTCCTAGGTTCCCAACTGCCTCACACCCCACCTCTGCCATGTATTTCCCAGAGGGATAGGACCTGGCATTCAGCCTCAGGGAGACCCAGCTGTGGTCAAGGCTTTTGTATTCCCATCACCAGGACAGGTCATGGTCTCCTCCTTGTTGGTCAGTCCTCATTCTGGTTCGGCCTCCCTTGAAGAGATGTGAGAAGACTAATGATGGCCCACATCTTGGCAAACTGAGTTTTTGAGCTTCTCAAGGCCTAGGCTTTACAGGGTAAAAGTCATTTGAGAGGGAGTGAAGGGCTAATAAAATAGAATATAGATAAGTGACCCTGCTAAGTCTGATTAAAAACATGTAGACAGCTATAATCATCTCTTGAAAGTCCTGTAGAATGTGCCTGAGGACTCACAAACTACAGTTCAAAACTGACTTCTTGTTTACTTTAATCATTTTGGTAAATTCCTATTTTTTAAATGCTTAGCATGTAATATAGATGCCTTCTAATGTAGTGCAGGATGAAATATATCAAATAACTGGTGTTATTTTTGTTTGAAAAAAATAAAATCTCAAAGGGAAGAAGGATGGGAGATTAGTGACAATTTAAGCAAGTCCAGGGCCAGTGGATCATCTGACAAAGATACAGAAAACTCTTTTTTTATAAAGATTTTATTTATTAATTTTTTTAGAGAGGGAAGGAAGGGAGAAAGAGAGAGAGAGAGAGAAACATGAATGTGCAGTTGCTGGGGGCCGTGGCCTGCAACCCATGTGCCCTGACTGGGAATCGAACCTGCAATGCCTGATTCGCAGCCCGCACTCAATCCACTGAGCTACGCCAGCCAGGGCCAGAAAACTCTTTAACATGGGGAGAAAATGACAGTGGGGAGAGGGGATGAAGAATGAGAGCACCCTATTCCCAAGGAGAGCTTTCCTCTACTTTACTTGGAGTCAAAATAGAAGTTCTTGGAATATGCCTCAGCAAAGGCAATTTTTCCATTTCTCCTCCTTCTTATACACCCTCATTACACAGTGTGGAAAACTGAGCACAAAGTGGCTCATTTAGGGAATTCTCCTACAGTACATCCTCTGATTCATGAAGTGTTACTTGCCACCTACACACATCTATGGCCAATCTAGCTACCACACATTAAATTATATTTGAAGCTTTAAGAGAGCCTTGTTGAAACAAGATGTAAGGCTAATTAAATGGCAAGAGATTATGGCTGATGAAGCCAGATTCTGTCATACTAGTTCACTTCTCAGAAAAGAATGAATGGACCTGTGTAGAATAAATTCCTACATGTGATATTTATCCCACAGAGTGAATTTCACATGCTACTTGCCTTGAAATGTGGTCTATAATAGTGAAAGCCTGGAAACCACCTATATGTCTATCAATAGAAACTTGTTTTTTTTTTAATAGAACCATTTAACCAAAATAGATGGAAAAAGAAAGGAGTTTCAATTGTCAGCCATGTGAGTGAGCCCTCTTGGATGTCCAGCCCAGTCAAAACCCTCAGAAGAGTCCAGCCCCCACTGTCATCTGACTGCAATAGCAAGAGAAGCCCCAAGGAAGACCCACCCAGCAGAGATGAGTCATTGCGCAGAACTAGAAGATATAACGATACATTATATTAAGGTACTAAATTTGGGGTTATTTGTGAAGCAGCAATAAAGTGGAATAGTAACACATGCATCACATCCTCTCCACAACACCAGACCTGCCACATTTCTGCACGTTCTAACTCAACATGTGCTACATAACACAGAAGACACATCTGATGCCTGGAATAACATCCTGTGAGCCAAAGGACCAGCAATCCCTCCCAGGACACATCTCTGCCCACTAGGCCATCTTTACCATGTTTACACAGGTTTATAGCTAACACTATACCTCTTAAGGTTTCAAAATAGGGTTAACTGATTGTACCTTATTACTGTATTCTGCAAGTAGTAGGCCAAAACTAGTTATACCTTAGTCATTGTAGCTACACAATGAGAGTGGAATGTTGAGACAGAAATGCTGAGGATCAAATAAAAACCTAGACCTGGTTAGTTGTGTGATGTCATGTAATATCCCCAGGCCATAATTTCCCACATGTAAAAATAACAAAAGGGAATTAGATGAGCTCTTCAGTAGAATAAGAAGCTAAGAGTAGAGTCTGTTTTCCAACTTCCTAAGATCAAATCCAGTTCTGCCACTTACAGACTGTGGGATGTAGGCAAGTTATTTAACCTCTCTAAACTTTAATTTCATCACCAGTAAAATGTGGACAATAGTGAGTTGCCTCTTGGGATTATTAACAAATTAAATAAGAAAAGCTACTTAAAAAGAAGTGATGGATAAGTCCTAACTCTTATAGTTAGACCAGCTCCAAAATTTTGTGATCCTAACTAAAAGTCAATTGGTCAAACCCCCTTGTTTATCCATTTAGCTTTTGAATTTGTCTCTCTCTGATGAAAGAAAAAGGGGATTAACTTTCAGTGTAAGCCACAAATCCCCAGTCCTTCATTTGAAACCGAGGTCCAAAAAGCTCCAAAAACTGACATCTCTCCCATCTCCTTTGGCACTAA